TATAAGATAAAGTTTCGAACAGATGGCTGGATTGAGTTAAGGCGCGCCTAGTTGTGCTTGGAAATAAGCAAGAAGAAGGAGTCGACTATACGAAAATGTTTGATCCGATCATTAAAATGATGATGATTAGAGTTTTCTTAAGTGTAGCAGCTGCAAAGAAGTGTGAGTTGCATCAAATGGATGTGCATAACGCATTTTTACATGGAGATTCAGAAGAAGAAGTATACATGAGACCCCCTCCTGGTTTCAAAACTGTAGATCCAAACCTGGTATGTCGTTTACGGAAATCTCTATACGGACTTAAGAAAGCCCCACGCTGCGGGTTTGCAAAGCTGCGAGATGTGCTCAAAAAGTATGGTTTCTCTCAGTCATATGCAGAGTACTCCTTGTTTGCACTTAATCATGGATTGTCGGAGATGTATGTGTTGGTATATGTTGATGACTTAATTATCGGAGGAAATGATTTTGGAGCTATTGCAGATTTCAAGATTTAATTACAGAAATGCTTTCATATAAAAGACTTAGGTCTTTTGAAATATTTCCTAGGCATCGAAGTGGCACAAAATCCAGAAAGAATATTTTTGTGCCAGCGTAGGTATGCTCTTAATATAGTGGATGAGGTTGGTATGATGGTAGCTAAACCAGTAGTGTTTCCTATCGTGCAACAACATCATTTTGCACTTGCTGAGGGTCCTCTTTTTGGAGCACCCAAACGTTATCGACGTCTTATGGGAAGATTGATATTCTGGCAGCCACACGACCGAATTTGGCATATACTGTTCGTATATTGTCTCAGTTTATGCAATTTCTTCGCACTGTTCATTAGGCAGCTGCTTTGAGAGTGGTGAAGTATTTGAAAGACACACCTGGACAAGGGATTTTGTTAAAGTCGGATTGTGATCTATAGATACATGGTTGATGTGATTCTGACTGGATGGGGTGTCCCTTAACGAGAAGATCGATCAGTGGTTGGTTTGTAACTCTTGATAATTCACCAGTTTCATGGAAAACCAAGAAACATGATGTTATTTCTAATTCCTCGGCAGAGGCAGAGTATCAGTGCATGTCCAAGACATTAGATGAACTGAAGTGGTTATGGCAAGTCCTAGCTGATATGAGCGTTTCTCATCAGGCTCCAATGGCACTGCATTGCGACAGTCAGACCGCATTGCACATTGCTGCGAATCTGGTGTTTCATGAACGTACTAAACATGTAGAGACTGATTG